ATCTACCAAAATGCGAATTGCGAGTTAACGGGGCGTCGGAAGTAGGTACCGACAAAGGGAATGTGGTAGCCTTCGACAAGCTCTTATTGATGGCGAAGTCAAAACTGGCTAATAGAATACTGATCTGTGACACAATAAGGTACTAACAGTTTTGCCACAAATATGAGTATCTGATCGAAATCGCTTTGTACAGGTTTTGTATTCAATTGCCATAATTAAGACCAGTCAGTAATTGACTTCTTAATCCAATTAAGATTGACGTAATTGGAAAGGTCAATCTACAAATGCTTAAGGTTAACAACAGGTTTAGAACTAATAACAAATTCAAATATAGCTCCAAATACATTGGGCGTGATATTATTTTTAACTTGGCGGATGTTTTCATAGACAATTGCATTTAACTCAAAAGATACTGTAAATTATCCACTGATAAAGTTTTGACCGCAGACATGTCTGACGATTGGCGTCATTACAAGACAACCATTACTTTGGACCTTTGATAACGGTTTCTGTTTACTTTTCTAGTTATTGCTAATAATTATTAATCGAAAACGTTATCGTTCGTACTCTTTCAACTTTTATCAGTGTGGCAAATTGGGCATTTATATAATGGATCCAGATGTCTGAACCAATTTACTCCCTGAGTGTATTAGCGTATTTTTTAAGAATTGAAAAAAATGTGCTATTGTTTGCGTTTGCTGTCTCAAGGTGAGGCCTCCCCCTGAATTATTACCTGAGATGCTGTTTTTGAATGTAAAACGTGCATCACTTTTACATGCGACAAGCAACAGGATTTGCATACGCATGCGTGCAGTGGTGGCAAGTCAAATTTTTGAAAATGGGGGGGGGGGGGGTCAAATTCTAATGAAAGGTCTCAACGAAATGAATTAATTCCTACTAACCATAGCCTCCTTCTCGACTCCTTATAGTGTTTGGATATAAATAATTCCTTATATCAAAAACGGATTGTCGGAGGATGGTACTCACAAAAGGCGATTGGGACGTCAGGAAGAAATATTTGGTGATGTCAACACTTGACGAGCGAATATCTCGAAAACGCTATGCCGCGGCCGGAGGAAAGTACCCACAAAGGCAAAATGAACAGAAGAACTTATAGGGCTATTACTCAAACCTCACTTGCCAGTTTAAAATCTGACTTAAAATTTCTACCAAGTATAAATCCTACGAATATTCATACATCTGTTCATCAATTTACTGTAGCTTTAAGATACTATATAGAGGGCTTCCGAGGAAAATACTTAGACCCAGGTCAAATAAAGGTTGGGTTACAAGTGAAATTAGAAAGGAATCAGAAGCGCTTCGTAAACAATTTTCATTAATAAAAAGTGTGACGTCGCTTGAGCTGAGAAGAGAGTATAATTAAAAAAAAATGAATTTCGACGTAAAGTAAAACAAATTAAACAAACACACTTTGAAAACCGGATACTGCGGGCCAAAAACGTGAACAAAGAGACTTGGAATATTGTTAACTCCGTAACTATAAATAATCACGACGCTTTTAAGAATAAGAATAAATTATTACACTTAATATAGAAAACAGTCTTATTACGGGTGATCTGCAAATAGCTAACTGCTTTGGTGACCACTTTGCTACTGCTCCCGTTAAAGCAGTAAGACGTCGCTTTAATTGTAAAACTTCATCCTACTGTACTGTCGGTGCTCAACGCGTTTCCTCATCTTTTATCTTGTTCCCCATTGACAAAGAGGACGTCATGGCAGAAATAAGGAATTTAAAAAATTGCTTTCCAGGTCCTGATGGCATTCCTGTAAACGTTCTTAAATTGCTTTCTACTGAAGTTACAGATGAGTTAGTTAAAATATTTAATTGGTCCATAACGACTGGCCTTTTTTCCCTCAGACTTCAAATGTGCGAATATTGTCCCAATACCAAAAGGTAAAGATCCCTCAGACAAGAACAATTATAGGCCAATATCTATCCTTAATACTACGTCTAAAGTATTTGAAAGAATCGTGTATCGGAATTTAATGCAATACTTGGAAAAATACAATATGTTAAGTTCATGCCAACATGGTTATCGTGCAGGGAGAAGTGTGGAAACGGCGTGTTATGCATTTACACAAGAAATCTTTAAACAAAATGATGATGGAAACTATGTTGTAGGAATACTTTTTGACTTCAGTAAGGCCTATGACACAGTTAATCACACGTTCCTTCTTCAAAAGCTTGAAAACTTTGGGATACGAGGCGTCGCGCTGAAGTGGTTTGAGTCGTACATTAGGGACCAAAAAATTGCTGTAACTTACAATAGTGCTACATCCAGATACTTTAACTTGGAAATGGGTGTACCATAGGGTTGTGTGTTTGGACCACTGCTTTTCTTGCTCTACGTGAATGACCTTCCAAAATACATTAAGAATGGACATGTTATAATGTACTGTGATGATATTTCTATTGTTCTGGCTTCTAAATGTGATGAAGATCTTAGGTCCAAACTTGAGTCAGTTTTTGAAGATATGATGTGGTGGTGTAATAAAAACAATCTAATCTTGAATGTGGACAAAACTGAAGTTATTAGTCTTTCTAAAAAGAAGGTATTTGATGACGCATCTCTAAGCATAAGCAATATAAAAATAGTACTTAGCCAAACGGTAAGGTTCTTAGGGACTGAGATTGATAATGAGTTAAAATGGGCTGCACACACTGATATGGTTCGAAAGAAATTAGCTAAATCATACTTTGCACTATATCAATTAAAAAATCTTTTGTCTGTTAAAGGGCTACTAAACACGTATTATGGTTTAGTGTACTCAAATTTAACATACAATATTGCCATATGGGGCAGAACTCAAAACTTAAAACAATTATTAATAAGACAAAAAAGAATAATTCGCTTAATATTCAACCTTTCATTTAGAGCTACGTGTAAGCCTATTTTCATTAAGCATAAAATTTTAACTGTTCCTTGTATTTTCATATATAAAATTTTATGTCTAGTCAAAAAATATATCTTAAACAACACTGTTAATCCAAAAGAGATTAACGGGTATAATACAAGGAGAAACCAGTTACCTGTACCTCGTCATAAAAAAAGTAGTTATATGAAAGCACGACACTCTATTGTGGAATAAAGTTTTATAACAAACTGGACAATGCAACTAAACAGCTACCACTGAAACAATTTAAAACTACAGTCAAAAAACTTCTTACATCAAAAGCATTTTACACTACACAAGAATATTTAATTGATCAATAAACAAAAAAATTTCGAAACTTAGCTTGTTAATTACTTTTTATATATTTTATGTAGTTTGTATGTTTGTAATTTTAATACTATATGTTCCAATGTTTTTTATGTGATTTTATCTATTTATTTAATGTATATGTGCCCTAAGCTTACGATGCAGTTTTTAACAGTTTTATTGTAACATGATGTCTGACTTGTCTACATTCAAAACTGGATATATTGGATCAATAAAGATTATGATTATGATTTGTCGGACTAGCTAGACTTATCTATGGTGAAGAAGAAACAAAATATCGATCAATATAGCATGCTACTAAGTTATTTCGCTTTTTAAAAAATGCGCTTTATATGCACATCAGGTCGAGTTGTATCCTAATTTATACTTGTTTTATCGCATTTCAACCGAATTGGACAAAAATACACTATAACGTCCAATGATTTGCCGGCCTGATCTTTATAGTACTTAGCGCAACGTGCAGCATGTAAATATGTCCGATGATTAAGAATAAATTTCATACGTTTTTGTGACCTGTTTTTTGAACTAAAGAAGCCAAAATGGTTGTCGATTGGGGAAAATACGTACAGCGATCTTTTTTGACAAACGTGGATTATCAAAAACATTTCTATCTCAAGATCATTCCTCAATGAAAATTTAAAAATTTTTTTATGGTTTATATTTAGCATAATCTTCTGGCACCTTTACTTTTAAAAACGCGAAAATTTCTACTATCTGCGGATTATAATAACATTTACAATTACATTATGTACGTTTCTGTCTGCTTGCTTCCTACTGTCAATTAACTAATGAAAAATGTTGCATTTCCTGTGTGCACAAGTACGATGAGTGGTCTGAAAATTATACCGCGCTGTCTTTTGTAGAGATTTTTATTGAGAAGAATCCTATTATAGCCGTTATAGGTGTAGTTTTGTGAGGCAGCTAATAAATGGGTGTTTCATCAATCATCATTATTATTAAATTGCATTGTCAGGTCGCCTTTTAAACCATTTTCTTGCATGCTGTTTTTAATAGGGCATTTCATTTCGAATGGCCTATAAATAATTACAATGCAATCGGATAATGAAACGGATTATCATTGCTCGAGCAATTGTAATTCGAGCATTGTTTTGTTGTTACTAAATCGAGTTATATACTTATTATCAGATCGTAACATTGTTCACATTTTAGTGGGTGGGAATTAGAACGTGACCGTCATAATCTTCATTCTATGCCTCTATGGTACGGAGATCGTCTGAATTGCTCTCTGATTTTGCGCTTAGATTAGTCGCCCATTTCAATTTTTTTTGGTTGATCCAATTCAGGTGCATAAAGTTAGGAACGAACATTTCCAGTAACGTGACGTCATCACCGGCATGCGTAGGTATATCTAAAGCGAACCCGCCTTGAAGATCACATCCCTCGATCTTCATATTCCTCCGTTTCCCATACGCGATAACCATTTCAATGTAGACAATGCTCTTGCTACTTGAACGTAGTTTCCTGGGGAAAAAACACCATTCAACTGAATTTTGACTGGGAATTTCCAATCAACCCAATGAATCAAGTGAGAAGTTCTTTAGTAGCAGATAATGTTTTAAGATTGTTATTTATGTAACGGGTATTTACATAAAAACTGCAAATCAAATAATGTCAAATTGACGCAAAAATTATGCTCACGATTAGCTCAATATATCAACATTTTTTAACAAATATTCTAGTTTTGTAATAATAAAAATGAAAAATTAGCAAGGTATATCTGAATTTTGTGTTATTTTCTTCTTTCTTTCTAGGTCACGGTAAAACACACAGAGACGCGGCAAGTGTTCAAGCAACGCATCCGATCCCAGCTGCCTGTGGCTTGTATTATTTTGAAGTAAAAATCGTTAGCAAAGGTCGAGATGGCTACATGGGAATCGGTTTGTCGGCTCAGGGTGTTAACATGAACAGATTACCTGGTGAGTAATACAAAAAAAAGTGATTCTTCTTGTTTACCTACTGAATAAAAGAACTGCTCAGAAGGAAACGGTGGATTATTAGGCCAGTCAAAATCGACACAAAAAATCGCTAAATTCGCAAAACATGATGTATCTCTGATTTTTTAGTATGTTGTTTGGACCTATTAGAGTAGTGTATACTACTCAAGTTTGCAACTCTCTAAAATTTTTGGAAAAAGCGTAGTATACGAAAAACCGCGAAATTTTCGGACTTTTTGCAGTGTTTGCGTTATATTTTCTAAACTATGCATTTTTCGACGAAAGTCACTATATACGTTTTTGAAGAGTATTAAATGTGTAACAATTTGCTCCTAACCCGAGCTCAGTCAATTAGTTACCGAATTACGGCACTTTGAAGATAGTCATTTTTTTCCAAAAAGTGAACAGTTTAGTTTTAGACCTTCTTTAGACCGAAATTGCGGTTAAAGGATTGATCCTACGAGCAGAACTTATAGAATAATAGTTGTAGATAATTTAATTAACTTTAAGTTAAGCGTAAAGTGGTGTCTGCAGGCCTCGTAGTTCTCTCTAAATCTCAAAAAACCGATATAAGGTAAAATTGTATTTTTCCAGAAATGTTCCAAAAACTTTTTATCTTTTGTTTTTTGGTGTGGAAATAAAAAAGCAATGTGTCAAATCACTTTTTTGCTGCATAGAGGCAATTTTAAATATCCAACAATTTCATAGATTTAAATTAAGGCACAAATTAAAGTTGAGTAAGTTGTAGGTAGGTGCCGCAATGATATCATTGTATATACCTAATATAGGTACTATCAGTGGGGGTCCCAGGGAAGGGGGACCCGGCCCCCCTCATTGTCCGTCTGTTTCATCAATTTTGTGTCGATCTCATTTCCATTATGCGAGATTTCTTTTATTTTTTTCCGTGTTGGGACAAAGTTCGGGTTTGGGCCCCTCCCTTTACCAAATCCTGGGACCGCCACTGGGTACAATGATGATATTTAAGGATCGTAGCGGTTCTTTGTTCTGCGTGGTCCCGTTTAGTGATCGGCAATAGTAGTAATAATGGTAGTGGTACGGAAATACTGGATCTGTTATTTTGGTAACAGTTACCTGATGATAAGAAAATACTCAAAATAGGTATGATATATAGCAGTATGGGTTATGATATACTCGCGCGATTGAATCGTCTTTACGAATCGGAATCTTTATTCAATGATCTTAAAATGGGAACCAATACCGAACTAAAACTGTCGCACGCACTGGAACACGACCGCGCGATGGCAAATTCAAATACTTTATTAATAGAAGAATAGTGCAGATTTTAATCTTAACGAGTAATAAACAGCTTTCAAAGTAATTCAAAGTCTGCCACCCTATTGGCGAGCACGTTTTTAGCTCATAAAGTTGTCATAAATTATTACACATTTACAGATTTTCAGACTTCATGCTGAATTGTTAATGCCATATTTCGTATCGTATATGAAACCCTCTCTCGTTCCCCCGCTTTCTTAGTTTCTTCCTGAGCTCACAGTACCTATTTGCTCCTCCGTTGTGAGTAACTCGTGTTTTTTGTACGTTTGTGTTCAAGTATCGTATTGTGAATAGGTTCCAACAAGGCCAGTGCATCCCGGCTCTTGTGTTACATATATGTCGATATCCACTTGAGGACGAATCAGTGATAGTTGTTAAAAAAACGTGGTATCCAGTCACTAGTTGCCATCAGTGTAAAACGTGGTGTCCAGGACAATGCTCAGTTTTTGGGGAACCTGAATGAAGTCAGTGTTCACGATGCCTGCAGGAAGACGTACACTGCCCCACATAACATCGAAGCTTCTGTTCGTCGTGGAGCAGATGAAACTCCTTCTACCCAACCATCAACCTCGAGATCATCAGTAGGTTCAATCTGCAAAAAAATTTGTTTCCTTTGTGGGGAGGAAATTACTGAGAAGTTTCTACAGCTTCAAAAACGACTTCCAACGTCACGTAAATAAGATTCACACACTAGGATCATTTCACATAAGGGGGACGATTCTCGAGACTGCAAGACGCCGTGGTGACGATTGGGGTAACCAGATAATCGATCGCCTTGCATCTACGACAGATCTCGTCGCCCCTGATGCTATGTACCACCAATTATGCTACAAGAGATTCTACAGTTTCCCAGCCGCAGTAAGAGTAAAACTGTATCCAGAGCCTAAAAATGTTGCTCAGTGTATGGAATTCATTTTCTCGTACCTCTCAGAGAACAGGGATGAATGCCAGTTTTGTTTGAACCACCTCATTGATCAGATAAAAGGTGATTACAAGCCTGACATCAGAACTGTCAAGAACCACCTGATGAATCGCTTTGGCGACAAGATAACTTTTGCTGAGATAGTCGCCAATTTGTCATGCACTTCACAGATGTAGGCAACAATGATACTCTATGACTTTATGACTTATGTTTATATTAAAATACAGTTCACCGTTTTTTAAATGATTGCTTGCCAAATTTTTCTTTACCACTCCAAAAAACAAAAAATAAAAAACTTTTGGAAGAATTCTGGACAAATGCGATTTTACCTTATATCGATTTTTTTTAGATTTAGAGAGAATTACGAGGCCTGTAGACCCCATTTTACGCTTAATTTAAAGCTAATTAAATTATCTACATCTTCTATTTTATAAGTTCTACTCATAGGATCAATAGTTTACCCGCAATTTCGATCTAAAGAGGGTGTAAAGCTAAAATGTTCACTTTTTGGAAAAAAATGGCTATGTCACTATTCACCTCAACCCAGGTTCGAACACCCGACCTCCGGATTTATAACCCAACGCTCTACCACTGAGCCATAAAGCCGGTCTTCTTGAAAGATGAGTAATGGGGAGGAACCCCTTAGTACATAAATGTTGAAAGACCACCTGGTTCAAAAATGTACACTATACATTGTGCAAGAAAAGAATACATACTGGATTGGGTGAATACCTATCGGAGAGCTTTCCTGAAAAATGGAAAATAAGTCCCATAACCAACAGGTTCCAACAATTGTTTTTTTTTTGTGTACATACATCGTGGTTTTGGTAAAACAAGTATAAATTGTGCACAACTCTTGTGCAGATAAAGCGAATTTTTTAAAACCAAAATAGCTTAGTAAATGTTTGCATTATAAGGTAGAGCATTTTTTATGGATGTTTTCTTTCTTGTTAGATGATTATTGGAGACATTTCACCAATAGATATGTCTCGTCCAGAGAATTCATTCTGCCTTTGTGAATACCATCCTCCGACAAACTGTTCTTGAGATATATAGTTAAGGAATTATTTATATCCGATCACTAAGTCGAGGGAGGAGGCTATGGTTGTTAAAAATAATCCCTTTCGTCGAGACCTTTTTATTAGAGTTCAATGCAGGATAAAACTAGTTCCCGCCCTCACCCCTCAAATCCCCTCTTTTGATAAGTAGTCTGAAAGTAGGGTGGTAGTTGGTAGAAAACAAGTTTGTTGAGACTTTTAATTGGAAAACTAAAGATATATTGCATTTTCCCTTCCTCCAACACATTTTCGAGATATTCACAGTTTTTACATCGCCAGAAGATATGTTTCATCCATACGGTTCAGTCGCCCTGTATATGTCCAACGTTTTCGAGATATTATGAGGAGTTACAACCGATCTCGATGAGGGATTGGGAGAAGAGGTGTGGTTGGTGGAAATTAATTATCTTCGATGAGACCTTTCTACATATCTTTAAAGTACTACTATTGCAAACAATCCCAGGGCTACTATTGCTCAAATTCAAGGAATGGCCACTCTACATTACGTCCATCCGGACACTGAACTGATGCGTTCGAGCTTTTTTCGAAAATCATTTTTATAATTACACCAAAATGCATCTGTTTCGTCGCCTCACTCAATATTTTAATGAAAATCAGAAGCCTATTATTCAGCGTTGCCCACACAAAATGCTACCAAGAATCCACCGAAACACATTGCCTTGATGCACAGGAATTAAATTGTGTGCTCCTTCTGTCTTGCGCTCTTTTTAGTTAAGTTGTAAACAAAATCTTCATTTATTCACTGATTTAGTATGGGAAATAGCAAAACTAGTACGATCAAATGTACCTCTCCACGTCCAAAGCGAATGGAAACTTGAACGTTAAAACTAACTTTATAATGAATAACTAAAATTTTTAACAATTCTAATTTCGATTAGTTCACCAATGAAAAAATCCATGCAATGTAAAAGTTTTCAATTTGCCCAAAGATTGCTATCTTTAAGAACATTGAAATCCTTTCGTTGATAATTTTCTACTACATTCCCATTTAACGTATGACTCTTAATTTGATATTAAATGAATATATCTCACTGTACCTCACAAAAAGAATGCCTTTCAGTAGACAGTGCTGTTGATATAAAATATAAGTTCCGAACTGTCCTCCTTACAAAGATAATGATACGGAAAAATCCAAACCATGGAGCTGAAGATTGGAACTTTCCATCGGCAAACTCTATTTTGATGAATTCTCCGTTGCATCAATGTTCTCTGGACATAATCTTTTTGAACGATGGATCTCTGTTTATAGATTGTGGACAAGCAAGAATTTATTGTTAACGGGTTTTATAAATGATTCTGAACTTCTACCGCCACAAAGGAGACATTTTCACTAAGTAACAATTTTACACTTTACAATTTTTTATTAATGTTTTTATGATTACGAACTTTTACGACAAAGTTTAATCTCCTTTTGTTTCACTAGCAACGAGGTAACTACAGTGAATTTTAACAAAGTTCTTTATGGGATAAAATTTAACAGACACACTTTCAAAACAAAAATACTCGAAATCACAGCTTAGGATATCCGGAAAAACGGGGATTTTCGCCCTGGTACAGCAAGCACAAACGAAATTTCGTTTTTCGTGACTAACTACGTGGTGACTCCTTGGTAGTTCTCCACTGAATCTCTTCCAAAGCTTCCTCTGATGAATTACCCGTAAATTGGGATTAATTACTCGCAAAATTGTCTCATTTTTTTGTGTTGCTCAACCCCGTAATGTTATAAACTATTAACTTGAACCACACATCACCACAAACATGCCACTCAATACAGGATGTACTTTTCTCCGGTCTTTATAAAAATATGAAGATTATCGCAGTGAAAATCGTTGGGCACCATCTTGCTGAGCTTAAAAAGTGTCTACGAGGAAGTGTTAATTGTTTTTTGATATCTTTTCAAAGGGGGTCAGAGAAAAATAAAAACAAATATGTTTAATTTCGAATATCTTCCTAAGTCCTAAAATACGCAACTAATTAAACCGACTGTGTATCTCTTATGGTTTCCGATTTCCCCATGCTGTTCCTTTTTATCTTAGATGCAGTGTATACTCTACCTTAGTTAAGAATTTTCCACTTTTTTTTGTTCTACCACATTTGAAAAATCTGTTGACACAAATTACATTTTTGTGAAGCTGAATCTGTACTTTTCACTTTCGTCAATAATTTTTTATTCAATGCTCTCGTTAAAAATAATTGTCATTCCGTAATCTGTGTCAAAGGTGTACAGATTTCTTACCGGTATGAACACAAGCCTGTTAGGCCTTTTCGAAAATTCAACCGGATTATTTGGGTTGGTCGAAATTACCATGAAACAATTGTGGCAATAATTGTTACCATAGTGTAAAATCTACCAACCCAGTTGAACGAGTTGAATTGTGGAAAACGCCTTAAGACATTTTTAGACCCAAAAAAGCATGTACAAGAAATGATTCGGTAATCAGTTACTTATTGATGTGAAATTTGCTTCTTATAGGTATTTATTTGTAGGATGGGATAAACAATCGTACGGATATCATGGTGACGATGGTCATTCCTTCTGTTCATCTGGTACGGGCCAGCCGTATGGTCCTACATTCACGACTGGAGATGTAATTGGTTGTGGAGTTAATCTCATTGACAATTCGTGCTTTTACACAAAAAACGGTCACAATCTTGGCACTGCTTTCACAGAGCTACCTGTAAGTACTTATATTTTTTTTTGTATCATGCGATATAGGCAACACATATTATAGTGATGAATCTGTCATTTAACATTTTTTATTTCTTAATGGCTTTTGAGGTTATAAAATATGGAATAACATTGAACTTACAAGAAAGATCTATTAATTTTATGTGGTCGTAATTAATACGTTATAAACTCCTTTTAGCCAAACCTCTATCCGACAGTTGGACTTCAGACGCCAGGAGAAGTAGTCGACGCGAATTTCGGACAGGAGCCTTTTGTTTTTGACATTGAGGACATGATGAACGAACTACGATCAAAAACTCGCCTTTCGATTTACGATTACCCCGTTTACGAGGACCAAGGTGAATGGCAGGCGATTTTAAACAAGTAAGTGTTATGGTTATGGAATTAATACATTTTGCTGTCGAATCACTAACCAGTACTAAGCTTAGTATAGTAGGTATAGAATTATAGGATTTAAATGCAGTATTATTTACAGAATGGTTTCGACTTATCTTGTTCATCATGGCTATTGTAATACAGCAGAAGCTTTCGCTCACATCACTAATCAACCTTTTAATGAAGATATTGGATCAATAAAAAATCGACAGAGTAAGTGGTGCAAGGCGATGTCTAATTTTATTGCTATTTTTCTCATGATTGTTAGGTAAGCTGCTGTATGTGTTCACAAACTGCTCACTTGTAGGGCAGAGAAATGTTAATTACTAATGCCTTTATATTAAGCTGTTACCATAAATGATGCGAAACTTAAGTCACATACGCAGTTAATCGCATTACATTTTGATTTGCGGTTTTTCAGGGAGATACTTTTCTCTGGACTGCGTTGTGTTGGTACAGCAGCATTGGTTCAAACTCCCCTCACTCTCACTCATATAATTAACAACAATTGCAACTCGATATTGGTTCATTTTAGTCCAGCCAATAAACAGATAGTAGAATGTGTAAGTTGGAACTTAAGGTTTTACTTCATAATTTTGTTTAGAAGGGTTAAGAAAAAAAAAGGATGCGACGTAAGAGGGCAGATTTACAAAAGAAAGTCCCTGCTTGGGTTTTCCTCTCAATAAGTGACAATTTTTCAGATAAATGTTTTTACTATGAACAGCTTATTTTATGCACTTTGTTATGATCACTCAAGCATAGCGTATCACACTGAATAAGTGAATACTCAAATAATTAATTGAGATCATATTATTTGAAAAACGGAAAAGTTAAACAACACAAAAATATCTATCCAATGTTTGAGGTGAGGCCTCAAACACAGGAAGAGAATGCATACTAATTATGCGCCAATTTTTCCTTTCAAATTAGTGGGGTTATTTTTTTTAGAATGAAGCGGTAAGTTACCTTAGAAGGTTTGTCAGCGTGTAATTGAGAATTAACGGAGCTGAAATCATACAATATTAATTTTTTTCCTTTTCTAATTGGAGAGACCTGTCCAATGCTGCAAAATAATCTAACTCTTCGCAAATTAGTCGCAGTGTCTTAATTTCCTTATCAGCGGCTAAAACGGCGCTACAAATTAAACTCCTAGAAAAGAAATACGTAGGTCTGGCTACAGTGTCTCTTATAGAAACGACCATTTGAGTTCGTTGAAGTGCTGGGTGTTCATTAAAACTGGTAGCTTCCATCAATGTATGGTGTCTTCATTAGTTCTTATATGCAAATATTTGTCCAACATTTTTCTGGACGAAGCGTTGCCTCTTTTATGTGTAAAAAGTGCAAGTGTATTTAGTTTTGTCTAATCTTTTTGTGTCTCGAGTTTGTCTGCATCATACTAAGACTGCATATGTTGTGATAAGTTTAACCATTATCCAATGTGCCATTTTTGAGCAGTAGGCTGATGCTTTTCAGTATTTCTCCAGAATACTCTCTTTGCCCTTGTTTTAATGGCCATGCCACATCGCCAAAAAGGGAGATTAGGCGACCATGAAACGTTCCCTTCACACTATCCATTGTGACTCGTGCTGTATGTGCGATTGCACCGTCTTGTTGAAACCACATACTCATCAATAATGGTTCTGCAGCGATTGCCAGTGACAGTGACCATATTGCTGAGACGTCTTCAAAAATACGGCCATCCCACATGAACACACCACACAGTAGATTTGAGTGGATGTAACTTTTATATAACATGCAACCTATAGCGCTCTATTCCATGCATTGACATGTTTTTAAACTATAGATCATCTTTTTTTTTAACATTATGAAACCAACATCAAGAAGGCAGTGTCAAAGAAGTTATAGATGCGAGAATGTTACAGATGTGGTGAGGTGTTCATAATTACGCGATAAAAAAACAATAACTTAAAAAGTGAACAAAATATAAAGAACATAAAAAACAATAAACAATAGAAAGTTCGAAGCCATACCAAAAGCAATGAAGAAAATTAGTAATTGGTTCCAATCAATGAATTGCTCGATATCAATATAGTAAAAAAAAACAATAATTTATTTTCCTGGTTGGCTATTGGTTTCGACATCAATGTCGCCTTGCTACAAGTTTGTAAGCAAAAGGACCAATAAAAACTATTGGTGTTTTTGTTCTACTTTTATTCGCCCACAGCAATTCCAGTGCTTCCACAAGTTTATATGTTAATATGAATACATTTCTTACCATCAATAATGATGTTGATGAAGTATATTGTAGGTTGTAAAAAATTTTGTTATAGGTACATGATATTAAAATTAAATCTGTAAAGATGCAGTAAAAATAATATATATCTGCTGATAACATTATTTTTACTATATCTTTGTTAATAATATGTAATAAAAAAATTTACTTCCTTCAGTGTACAGTGTGTTCTGTTTTGGTACAGACTACGGAGTATCTCAGTTCAAAGATAGAGACTTGCGATTTTCGCGACACTTTGCCACTTTTTTATGATGGTTTTAGATACCACAATCATCATCAATCTAGTTACGTTTGTTTCTGACATGCAGGGTGAAAATGAAAAGTTACACTTTTTGGAGTGTTATCATATTACTTATGTAAGATAGAAAAATGGTAAAAACTGTTTATTTTAGATATTTTTGCATATAATCCAGTGGCATAGTGAAAAAAATTTTTGCCCACAGTTTCTGACAGTTGACCCAATGTTGATATTTTTTAAATGCACCCTGTGTATCTTAACAATTGTTTTTCATTCTTTTTGCTGCTTACATATATTTTTTTTAATTTTAGCTATGAACCCCGTGTTTTACTGTTTATAAATAGTAGGTCATGGATTCATAGAGTTTGTTTATTGTATCCATGGTAATTAAGACCAATCAATAAAAATGGCTTGCCAGTAGAAATGTCATTTCAAAATTTAAAAAAATATATGATATACTTAATACATAATTACATAAGAAATATAGGTTGTGGTACAACAATGTAACCACAAAAATAATGCAAAAAATTTACCTTAAAATATACAGGATGTTGCATTTAAAAAGTATCAACTTGGGGTCAAATCTCGGAAACGGTGGTCCAACATTTTTTTTAATACACCACTGGATTCGTAAAAATATCTAAAACCAACAGTTTTTATCTATTTTTTTTACTGGGTAGCAAGATTTGATAAGATCCCAGAAAGTCTAACTTTTCATTTTCACCCTGTATCTCAGAAACAAACGTAATTAGATTGATTCTGTTTGTCTGTCTGTCTGTCTGTCTGTGGTAATGAAAGTGTCATAAAAAAGTGGCAACAACTGCATGTCTCTATCTTTAGAAACAGCTGAGATGCACTGCACTCTCAACCAAAATAGCCACACTGCACATATAAACATGTGGTAAAGCCTGATGATGGCATAGATGTCGAAATCGATGGGCAAAAAACGAAAACAATTTATTATTGTTTTTGTGTAGGATGGAATTTTTTGTTTGTAATTTCAACTAAATTCATTTTAATATGGAACGTAATTAATAATATTTACACTTGCATGGACCTTGTCGGCGTGTCTTTTGGTAGTTATGAGTATAAAGTATTTAAAAAAATCGAAAATTGATATGTTACTTAATGGTACCGTGGATAGGTGGAGTGAAAAATGACAGCATAAGCTAAGCGCTCCCACTGTTGAGGATCGGCCTCAAATTTAGTTAGGGTAGATAGATAATACTAATTCTGGCTTGCTTGCACAATGCTATGGAAATCTAGATATAAACAAAAACTGAAGAAATTTGAGGAATTAGATCTTCTATTGCCTATCATAACAAACTAGCTTGATGTTTTCTGCTTCTGCTTTATTACTAAACGTGACGCTAATTGTCGTTGTGTTTTGTTTCAGGGATTTTAAAACTAGTTCTAGCAGGTAGAATGGGAGAAGCAATTGAAAGAACAAGTAGACTATATCCAGGCCTTTTAGAACATAATCAAAATCTATTGTTCATGCTCAAATGTCGTCAGTTTGTCGAGATGGTCAACGGTTCAGACGTGGAAGTTTGCCCTAGACGAAATATCGGCGGCTTCTCGCCGTCATATAACTTATCTCCTAGACCAAATAGTCCAATACAAACATCTGTTATACAATCAACAAAAAATTATAGCAATAATAAAACAAAACCTACTGTAGAAGAACTTAATCAAAATAATGCCGCCATGAATGGCAGCAGTAATATTCCTGTGATACGAACCACAGACGATAGCGATGTAGAAATGGACACTGCCGAAGAAATACAAAATGGCCACGCCGATAATTCGTGCAATGGCAAACTCATAACGAATTCGAGTAATGGGTATCAAAATGGAAATGGTCATAGTAATATATGCTCAAATGACCGTTTTGAGGAGGAAGACGAAGAAGATATGGGTAAGATATTTGGCCAATTCAATTTTCCCTTCCAAATATCATTTCTTTGATAACCATTTTTTCTTAGATGTTGATACAGCATTACGAAAATCGTGTAAGCCGGCAGTGGAGCGAATTCTTGAATTTGGCAGGGAATTGTATAGCATGAGTCAGCGACTTAAAGTAGAACAAGGGTCTAGTGAACACAATGAAAAAATGTTAGAGGTAGGTAACTTAGTCGCATAGTTCTGACATCTTCATCTGGTACTAATTTTGCATTTTAAAACGAACACAAACACAGAATAAGAACCTGGAAGGTGGGGTTATGTTTGTTCGCTTTTTTAGGTATCGATAGTAATAATATCAAGTTTGTTGAACAGTAAATTATCAAAAGAGATATAAATCGATACATATCGATTTTATACATTGAATCTCCAGATTAAGCTATAGATCGTATCATCAAAAAAAGGAATTGGGAGGAAGTAGTGCAACTTCCCACTAAGTTTATTGTTCATCTCAATATTGCTGTGCTATCAATAAAGATAGGTATAATGCTGGTGTTAATGCGCCATTGAAACCACCCTCTAGACTCCCAATGGATGAGCGAAGTTTTTATAAACGCATAGAGGTTGACTGTTCCAATGTACAATGCATATCACTCATATCACAGATAAAAACACACACTCTTTTTCATTATGATTGAAATTCCGCTATTCGTATTATTATTTCAATTATTTTCAAGCTAATGTAAATTTAGTATTTCTTACGCCATCTAGATATCTTCTTTGTATTTCACTAGTTGAGATGTAAGTTGTTTCCTGTAGTACATTTGTTATTATATTAAGTGTAGTACTTACCTTTGGTTATGAGTGTTGCCGCTTGAGGTCATGCAGAGGTTTCTTTCTTCTGTAATTCTTTGCGACGCGCGCACTCCTTGTACGAAGACGCGATTCGATCATTATTACTTGTAGGACATACACGCCATTAGTTCCTTGCAAAATTTTTGTCATCCGTTTTTTTGGGATATATGCTGGTGCTGTATTAGTTTGGTGAAGTTTTTCTTTTGTTAATTTGTTGTCTATGCTTCGCTGATTTTATTTGCGTATATATTTACAAGTTTTAAGACCGTTTACAGTATGTTAACAACAATTACGTATTACTCTTGACTTTGTGAATAATCATTTTTTCGACTTTTCTTACTTCTCACTTCTGATTTACTCTTTTTTACCTACTGGATTGTGCTTACGACATCAATATTTTTGAGTGGACCCCGCCGATTTGAATTTTCTCAATATTGCACAAGAAAAATTCATTTGTGAAGGTCCACCGCCATTTTGATCAATTGGATAACGGCGCTATAGATATTCGTACATTACCGGCTTGAAAATTTTACTTCAATTGTACTAAATTGTACCAATATTGAAAAAATAGAGATGTTATTTTTGAAATCAGAAAAAAATGCTCTATCAAATGAGATTAAAAGTAAAACTGACTTCCATAAGAAAAAACAAAGTTGATGATGGTTAATCGGAGACGAAACGTCAGACAAAACTTAAAACAATCATTATGTTGCAATTTAAATGAGTTAATAAATATCTTAGTGTTTTCCCGCATTTGACAAACTGATATCAAAATATCTTATAAATATGTAAACAGAAAAGGTGGTATGAGTAGGTACTCTAAAACAGTTAATATTGCACTTATAAACACCTCACTCATTCATTAGGGGTCTAGAGGTTGATTCCAACGGCGCGCATGATTATTCATAGCACAGCAATATTGAGATGAACAATAAATTTAGTGGGAAGATACACTATTTTACCCCGATCCTTTTTTTAGATGATACTAATGAATATAGGAGACTTTTTCATGTGTTTGTTAAAAAAAATGTTTATATTATGTTGCGGTATTCAAAATTCGGTTGTGTTATAGCCTCAAAGTATAAGAAAATTAAATATAAATGACAACTATATAGTTTCGAAATTCGCCCACACAGAGTATGGGATGGTGTTATACGACAAAAACTGAACAAAAAGTTCCTCTACCAGTTTTCCATCAGACCGCTATTTTTCGAGCTACCGCGGATTTAAAAATCCCCGCCCCCCACCCCCACCCCCCACGCTGCGCCACTGGTTAAACTTAATATTAACACATTTTTAAAAACAAAAGAAGGTCAAAATAAACTATAAATATGACGAGTACGTAATTACAACAATTGTTCAAAATGTCTGCCGTCTGCTAGTAAACAAGCTTCAGCACGTCGAAAAAAAAGTGCCGGTCTGATCAAAAACTGGCAGAGGATCTTTTTATTCAGTTTTCATTATATAACACCATCCCACAGTCCGTGTGCGCGAATTTTGAAACACCCTGTATATTAAAATAAACCATATCACCTGGATACTACAAAGAAGTTAAACCGAGTTTGAGAAACACCATGTAATGCTCAAAAGGTTTAAGATAGCTAAATTCTCTGCACCGCCCATTTTCTAGTAAAATTTATTTAATTATTTATTACGAGCCCCAACACATAAATGTTCGGACAGCTAGCATTTTTAAAATAAAACCGAAAAAAAAATAAAACCAGTCCAATGTCAATAAAGCCGCAGATATGTTATATAGAAATATGTATTATAAGTTTATTGTTTATGTTAAATACCAAAAAACAATTTTTTTTAATGCTCTCACAACATGAAAATGGGAAAACCAGCGAAATTAACTGACACATAAATGTTCGGACACCACATATATTTGATAGTTTGATCTAGGTAACAGGATAAAAACCAAAAAAATGATAATTTTTATAACTTGTCAGCACACTTTGACATTTTGTTAAAAGAAAAATGGCACATGGCAAAGCAACACCGAAGGAAATTCGACAATTAATAGTAAAATGGGTTCATAAGGGAAAATCCTTTAGGGCAATAGGTCAGGAATTCAATTTGCCCATGTCCACGGTGGTAGCGTCACAGCATCAATCGAAGTTGAAGGAAACAACACAGGAAGACGGCCAACAGTTACCCCTAGAATGCAGAAAGCGCTGATAACCATTTGCAAATCTGGACGAAGAGACACAGTACGGAATATTACGGTAAAATGGAACAAAGTAACAAATGCTCATCTTTCTACCTAAACCTGTCGAAGGTGGATCCACAAATCAAGTTTACATTTTTATAAAGTAAGTTGATCTTTGGGTTAAAATGATTGAGCATTAGAAAATACTTTTTTAAATAGGCGAAAGAAAAACATCTTTAAAACACAAAAATAATAAAGAAGGGGTTGGATTGTGTTCGGGAACGGCCGGCGTGGTCTTACCAAGACTGGTAAAAATCATTTTTAGTATTGAATCTCGATTTGATATCACTGTAGGCGATAATCGAGAAAGAGTTACCAGAACGGAAAACAAAGCGTTTCACAAAGATTGCTTAAAGCGTTCTGTAAAATTCCCCAGTGGTGTACCGGTGTGGGGCAGTATGTCTGCAAATGGGCTGGGACAATTGCACTTACAAATGGTAATGTTTATGCTCAGAAATATCAAGCAATTTTAGAACAAAGTTGATTGCCTTCACTTGCGACATTATCACCTGATGCAGACTTTGTTTTTCAACAAGACGGAGCATCATGTCACAGGAAAAAACTACTAAGAAATGGTTAGAAGACCACAATAATAGTGCTTTAGAGTTGCCCTCAAGCAGTCCAGATCTCAATGTCATTGAGACAGTGTGACAAAATGAAGCAACGTTTGCGTATTCATCCGCAACGCAATATTGCTTCTTTGAGTGAAAAGTTACAAGAGATTTGGGATACCTTTGGCATCGACCAATGTAAAGCTCTTGTGACGACCATGCCTACACGAATCCAAGCTCTTATTAAAGCCAAAAGGGATGTAACTCATTGTTAAGTGGTGTCCGAACATTTTTGTGTCACTTTAAATTCTAATTTTATGGTGTTTTGTGTCATTTGACAGTTGAAATTAATTAATTTTGTAACAAAATATAAAATTACAGTTAGTAAATATGTTTAATTTATAACTATAGTAAGAAAAAAATAAATAAATAAACATACAATGATTTTTAAGTTACAACATTTGTAAAATTTTGAGTGTCCGAACATTTATGTGTTAGGGCTCGTATAAAAATATTTTCCATAAGCAACCATTTATTTTGACCCCAAAAATTAAAACCTATCTGTTTTGCAGGACGCATTTAGTTTATTAGCATATTCGAATCCGTGGGCGAGTCCCGTAGGATGGCAGTTAGATCATGCCCAACGGGAATCCGTCTGTGCTTCCCTTAATTCTGCCATTTTAGGTAAGTTGCGCACTTTTATTTTTTTCATTCATCAAGTTTTTGTGCTTTAGAGTCACAAAATAAGCCTCGAAAGCCACCATTAGAAGTAGCAATGGCGCATGCGCAAGAACTGGTGCGCCTCATGTCCAGCTCTGGACTCGGCTCATGTGCCTTTGCCTCAGTATCAGATCTCATGGAACACTGACATCTCTTTTTGCCCTATCTACCTGTACTGGCACACTGACCACCATCCTCTCAACGGGCAACATCGCTTGGCTCAGAGAACGATTATAGCTTGCCAGTTTGTATTTTGTTAAACAGTCGAGTAACTGTGATGCTTTAGTGAGTGGTTAACATTTTTGGAATTGTATGAATCTGCCTGCATTATTTTTAACACTCTTAACCTACTTATTTGGATCATATTATGCCATATTTTGTTCTGTAGTTCACTACTTGTGATTTTAGGTTATGTATTTTAAACCGCATGCAGGCAGCTTATGAAAATAATATTTGTCACAAAAGATTGTACCTCATTAAATTTTTGACTTAAAATTTTAATTAATTTGTTTAATTATGTTGTGACAAATGTAATATTTTTGGGTATCTGCAATGTTATAGTCTACTGTTTGTAGATCAAGTCTATGTAGGTTAAGGAATGTATTTAACTGGTCAGTTGCTTGGAGTAATTTCTGGAAAAATCAGAAAAATGTCGTAAGGGTAAGAGTTATTTTTTAATGGTTTATTTGAGAGGAAGTCGGCGTTTCATTTTAAATGTTATGTTGATTTTGTGCCCGCTTGTGATAAATTAAAATTTATTGCAAGCGTACTATTTCACCATTGTTCTTGACGCAAAAAAATGTTCCAACTACACAAAATCAATACTAACAAATTCTATATCGAAAAAGTTATTAAATTTCAGAGTGGGCGTTGTTATATATAATTATTCTTAATTTTTTTTGAATGAAAAGTGTTTTAATAAATGATTTTTAATGTATATAGTTTATTGGTAGCGTGATCTAAGAAGAAATATAACTAATAAAATCATTACAAATATAATGTTGTTTGCTTGTAGTTCGTAACCTCTTGAAAAGTGGCCATACATGCCTTCCAAACTCAATAAGTGCTTACGATATGGAACTGTTTTGTGCAATACAAATTGAATGTAAGTATTTTGTTGGTTTTTTATGTTTACCGCATCTTTTGTTTAATGTGCAATGAAATATTGACGAGTTTGAAAATTGGGAACCCTCTCCAGTAACAATATCATGATTAAGTGGAAAAGCGTTATCTATTTCATTAAAATTTAGTGAACATTTCCAAAAAGCTTATACTTGCCGACTTTCATCTCGAATAATCGATAATGAAACTAAATTCAATAAAGACAGGCTTTAGATCTCTCTAGAAACAGATTCACAAAATTTACAGGTGTGTAAATCTACTAAATCTAATGTACTATTATCAGTGTGCACTAGCACTAGCTTGTTGCATGGTTTATAATTGTGATATTATTATTGTCTTGTGCCGTACAGTGACGTCTTGTAACAGTTAGCATTATAGATGGCATTGTTCTAATCATAATAAATAGAGACGGATTAAATCGAAAATATTAAATATCTGTAAAGAGTGTTATAATTGTTTAATTAATTAACCGAAAACATACCATTTATGGTGGTTTTGTACTAATTACCTTATTTATAAATTATAAGTATATAGTTGTAGAGGTTTATCTATGAATTGTTTAAGCCTTCATTGGGCATATGTTTGATACAATAATAAAATTATAATTTTTTAGTCTACTCATTGCCTTTCCTTGGTTTACTTTATTCGTAGAGTAAGTCTTACTATCTTGCATTATGCGGGTCACTGTAATTGGGCGCAAAACACTAGAGGAATAAATAAATAAATAATAACCTCTAATATTCTACTTGGTATTGGGTGCCGACACTGTTAAAACAAAACATAGTAAGAGCTTCACCAGTACTCAAACATGAGCCTACTTTATAATGAGACGAAGTGCTGGGTAAAGTTGCTAAATATGTACAAAGAGTATTATATTTACTCTTTGATATGTATCTAGTGACTAGTGCTGGGTTTGAAGTATGTCCATCTAGTGACTCGTTTCAATACTTAAAGACAGAATTTTGCAACTTGTTTTGTGATTTAATGTGATGCTGTCGCCATACATTGTACTTGGCAAGTGTCCAGTGGTGTTCCCATGACATTTTCTTGAAATTAGTAAATAATGTAATTGAAGTAGTCGCAATTATTGTATAGGAGGTCTAAAACTAAGTGTTTAAAAAGTAAAAGTAAATACAATCGAATTCGGTCGAAATCGAATGGATTCGTTCGGTTACGCACAACCACTTACAAGGGAACGAATATGTTTACTTATAATTGCATTAAAGAATTTGTTACGTGTGCACAGCTCCCCACAGTATTTGCAATGGCTATATACTGCGTACACACCCGCCAAAATAAACCAGTGCTTGAAAAAGCAATCGTTTGGAAGTAGGTGGGCAGAAATATTTTACGTTGAACAAATTTGGGTGAATTCTGACGAACCCATTCGGCCTAATTCGTTTGGTATATGAATATCGGCCTTCATAGAGCAAGGATAGTTTAAAACGTAACATTTGATCACGTTACTTTCAATCCAGTTACATTGTTTATAGTTCAATGGTTGTATCTCGTGTGGTTTCTCGCATAATTTCGTAAAAAATATACAAGAATAAGATTTGTATAACATCTTCCAATGCGTATATGCATAACCTAGTTAATACCCATTGGTGGGTCCTCCAATACTACATCAGCTACTTTTGATTCATGCCTGAAGGAATATTGTTTGTGGATTCAAGTGCAATTTTTGGGTATTCCTCATAGCTCGAGCTTCTATTGGCGACACGAGAAAGAGCCCGCGATTAGAGTTCTGAGAAGCGCGAAGGTGGTTAATTTCGCAACTAGGATAAAAAAACGCGCGCTCACAAGGCCTTTCGGACGACACCAGTTTGAAACAATCGAACCAAAACCAAAGAGTAACCATACTCTTCGCCAAACCTATAGAAAAAGAGAGGAAAAACCTGAAAAATCTCCAGGTTAGTATATCATACGCGGGAATGGCGCCCAAATGTCACCGGCCCCACATGAAAGTACCTAGCCCCGTCCCTAAAGTTGATAATTACACGAGCTCGGTAGCTACATGTACACTCCTCGTCTTTCTACCAGCATTCTTTTACGGGTCCGCATTTGCTGCCAGCCAACCAACCAGGCAGCCAGCCAGCCGGCCTAAGTGAGATTAAAAGCTAACTTTTTACAAATAAATTTGCAAACATGCGCTACACCAACTGTTGCATATTATTCCCCTTCGATTTCACCACCAATCCGTCGCCACCAAAAGATATGCCACGTAAGTTACCCTCCTTATTAATACAAATTCAGTTTTTATAAGCTTTCTACGACTTTATATTGCCGTTTTCTGCACCACTAACCAACAACACAAAAACAAGTATAAATTGTGCACAACTCTTCTGCAGAAAGCGTATTTTTTAAAACCGAAATAGTTTAGCACCTAAATGGTTATTTTATAAGGTAGTAACATGGTATATTTATCGATGTTTTCTTTCTCGGTAAATGATTCATGGGGAGGAGGGCCTCCTCAGGATGATCTTTACACATCTCTATAGCGGATCGCGCCAAAATAATTCAAATGTAAAGAATTCTTTTAACATTATTACCTATTGTACGTACGTTGCGCAAAGCCATTCGTTCAAATTCGAAATATACCTGGTAAGATAACCTTTTACCTTGGCTCGTCTTTTGATTATGGGGCCATTGTAGACTTACCACGAACCATTTGTTACAGTAGTTTCGCCTAATTATTTTTAGGTCTAAATCTTATGTCGTTAAGTAAGTGCCGTCATTCGTAATCGCCCAAATGTAATTATTGTGTTTATCGTTAGCGTTTTCTCAACAAAGACTACAATCAATCAACGTGGTTTTTATTTTCCCTCTCCTCGGTCGGCGAAGTTTTACCAGCCCTGCACCACCAACGGTCCGTTCCGTTACAGCTCTAATATTAGAATCAAGCCCTCTTAGAGAAATTCTCCGAAATATTGCACTTTTCCCTTTGTAGGTACGTTCCTCCAACAAAATGTTTGCATCGCCGGCACCGGTAGATCTGTCTAATCTAGACTTTCTTTCTACACTGAGAGTACACTCCTCCGACTCTCGTTCTGCCAATAGACCACCAATAGATATGTCTGGTTCTAAAGGTTCCACTTGCCCTGAGTACGCTCTTCGGACACATCGTTTTCGAGATATTCGCTTCGACTTCACTAATAGATATGTCTCGTCCAGACACATCATTTTGCATTTGCTTTCCTCCGACAAACCGTTTTCGAGATATTCGATCATAAAGTTTGTACATCACCAATAGATATATTTCTTCCAGACGGGGCATTCGCCCTTTGTGAGTGCCCTCCTCCGACAATCACCGATCTTGAGATATAAGATATTATTTATATCCGATCACGATAAGGTGTCGAGGAGGGGGACTATTATGGTTTGTCAAAATTAATTCCTTTCGTTGAGACCTTTCATTAAAGTACCACGAAGGATAAAAGCAACCCCCTCCCAATCCCCTATTTTGAGGAGAAGTCAGAAAAAAAGACGGTAGTTGGTAGAAAACAGTTGTTTTTATTGAGACCTTTAATTATAGACTACCATGAAAGATAAAATTAATGTCTACCCTTTCCCCCCTCACGCTGGCCACCTACTTATAACGAAAAGGAGTCGCGTAGGAAAGTTATAGTTTATACAAACCAATTCATTACGGTGAGACTTTTCATTAGAATTCCGTGAAGGGTAGAACGTGTGTGTTGATCTCCAGAAGTCCAGACCCCTCCACCCCTCATTTTCAAAAATTTTACTTGACATTGACACGACTAAAGGCATGCGTATGCAAAATCTGATACCAATTGGTTGTCGCAGGTAAAAGTTACGCACGTTTTACTTTCAAAACGAGCATCTCATCATTCCCTAGTTCACAACCACAGAAGTGGGTCCGAACGGGCGGACAGACGGACAAAACGCAAACAATAATGGCAGTTTGCACCGACAAATGTAAGCGGAGCTACGCTTAAATTGGTCGGTGCAAACGGGCATAACACTTTTTTTTATTCTTAAAAAATGCGCTAAAACTACGGTTCCATTTCTCTTCAGAGAGGTTTCTAAAATGTTGCCGAACCGACGCGACGTACCTACCCTTGGTTATAAACTAAACACCCAAGGAATACGGCGAACTTGTTGAGGTGTTTTGATTGTCGAAGATATATACATCAGGTAAGTCACAAGGTATGAAGTTTGAAGATGTAATGCGTTTACATACAAATCTAAAAAATGTTAAAATTCTATACTTTAACATTTTTTCCCACATTGAAACAATTTGATTGAAAGTATAGGCTCCAAATTAAATTTTTATAACAACACAATAATTTTTACAAACGTTTCTATGAATCACTAATCATCGGCTTCTCCCTCCTCTTCCTCGTCGAATTCACCTTCCTCTTCTGCCGTAGCATCCTGGTACTGCTGATATTCGGAGACCAAGTCATTCATGTTCGATTCCGCCTCGGTGAATTCCATTTCATCCATTCCTTCGCCGGTGTACCAATGTAAAAATGCCTTTCGTCTAAACATCGCGGTGAATTGCTCCGAAATACGTTTAAATAACTCTTGGATACAAGTTGAATTGCCTATGAAGGTTGCGGACATCTTTAAACCGCGTGGAGGTATATCACAAACCGCCGTCTTCACATTGTTCGGAATCCATTCCACGAAATAGCTGCTATTCTTATTTTGAATGTTTAACATTTGCTCATCGACTTCCTTCATTGACATACGCCCTCTGAAGATAGCGGCCACGGTCAAATATCGTCCATGCCGGGGATCGCAAGCAGCCATCATGTTCTTAGCGTCAAACATTTGCAGGACCAGTTCGGGAACGGTTAAAGCGCGGTACTGCTGACTTCCACGTGATGTTAGCGGAGCAAATCCGGGCATAAAGAAATGCAAGCGAGGAAAAGGAACCATATTCACGGCCAGTTTTCTTAAGTCAGAATTTAATTGACCCGGAAACCTCAAGCACGTTGTTACACCAGACATTGTCGCCGAAACCAGGTGGTTTAAATCTCCGTACGTGGGCGTCGTCAATTTTAGGGTACGAAAACATATGTCGTAAAGGGCCTCATTGTCGATGCAGTAAGACTCATCCGTATTCTCAACAAGCTGATGCACTGACAGTGTGGCGTTGTAGGGTTCCACTACAGTATCGGATACTTTAGGCGATGGTACAACGGAGAACGTGTTCATAATTCTATCTGGATATTCCTCACGAATTTTAGAAATTAAAAGTGTACCTAAACCAGATCCAGTTCCACCTCCCAACGAGTGAGTCAGCTGAAATCCTTGCATGCAATCACAACCTTCGGCCTCTTTGCGAACGACATCCAAGACGGAATCAACCAGTTCGGCACCTTCCGTATAGTGCCCCTTAGCCCAGTTATTTCCAGCTCCACTTTGTCCAAATACGAAATTATCCGGTCGGAATATTTGACCAAACGGTCCAGATCGCACAGAGTCCATTGTTCCGGGTTCAAGATCCACCAACACCGCTCTTGGAACGTACTTCCCTCCTGTCGCCTCATTGTAATAAACATTTATTCTTTCCAACTGTAGGTCCGAATCTCCGTGGTACGTTCCGGTTGGATCAATTCCATGCTCATCGGATATCACTTCCCAAAACTGCAATCAAAAAATTATTTTGAAATAAGAAAGTCGTTGTCATTCAACTAACCTTAGCACCAATTTGGTTTCCGCACTGACCAGCTTGAATATGGACAATTTCTCTCATTATTCCTTCTTTTACAAATAAAACTAAACACGGAAAATGAAATGTGCGGTTTATTTAGAAAATTTTGGTATCCTGGTAGCGCGACATTGTTTTTAAGCCTCCTCGAAATTATATGACAAATTCCGTACAGACACGGTTGATTTTTGGGAAAGTTGTTTTTACGATATACGATACGATATACGATATATTAAATAATAGCGTATAGAGATAACGCCCATGTCGATATGTAGAGTGCATAAAGCAGTTGATGTCGTTAGACAGGCAGTTCTGTGACGAGTGTCGTTTCCAATGCTCTAAAGTTAAGTTAAGTTAATTAGAGATCGTTGTCGAAAATCGCAAAAATGCATCAGAATATCATAGGAGATCGTTGGAAGCATGATGGCGAAGATGTATTAGGTACCGTACAGGACGATTGCCTGATGGGTTAAACGATATTAATCGGGTCGGAATGGGACTAGGAATTTGTAACGCATATGTTGCCCATCCATTCCGCAAGAGCAGTCCCCTTTCCATTGACAGTTTAATGGAATGGCCTCCAAAAAAATTCGCCTCCGCCGAAATACTCACTCACTAGCAACTGATTTTATGGAAGCTCGTCAGTCAGGCAAGGTCGATCCCGAAGGATTCGCTTTAAAAAAACTCTTCCTTGCAATAAGTGCTATGTAGTCAATTGATAACTTCCATTTTGCTTTTATTATCAAACTAAACCTACTAAACGTAAGGATCGCTCCATAGAAGGCTCCACCGAAGGAAAGAGCGTAGGAATCTTTTAATTAACACAAAAAATACAAAAACAGCTCTTTAAAAATTGTAAAGTAACACCCTCTTTTCCATTAAGTGTCTATTTCGTCTCTAATGGTACTCTATAACTATAATTGTTTTAATTTTTAAAATTAAGCTCAGGGCACAGCTGGGTCTCGACATAAAGAAAAATCCTGACGTTGACTGTAATCACTCAAATTAAAAGTTATGCCGTAATCAAATTCCGTAAATTCCAACAGAAACGCTGCATAAATTTTGAAACAGATCAGAGATATCATTCGGGTACAGCACACTTAAAGGAAAAATCTGACATAATAATTAAATGAAATTGAAACTGAGTTTACTAGTTATTTATTATACAAGATAAAGGGATGTTTTAAACATTGAGTGAAAGACGTTAATTCACGAGATGGTTAGTTTCCCTTTATTGTCGTGTATAACACAAAACTTTATTTTATAGCAGAAGCCATATAAATCATTGTAAAGCCTCTGACAATTCTGAATTTAATTTAGAGACGTCAAAAATAGCAAGCTTAGGTACTGCCGTCGCGGTCGATTAAATAGAAACAGAATTGTTATATGTTCTGAACGTCATTTTATATCGTGCATTTGACATAAGAATGACAGATATCATTAGAATGCACAATCAACTGTTTCACTTTATCTACCCTGACGGTTAAGGTAATCACATTGGGGATTTACGATAATTCAACCGTTTTAACCGGATTGGTAGAAATTACCATAGAAACAAGTGTGGCAATAATTGTAACCATAGCAAAATCTACCAACCCGGTTTAACCGGTTAAATTATCGTGAATCCCCTTTATCTATCCTTACGGTTAAAGAACGGTTTAGCCTACTCATTCAAACCTATTAAAATGACATTTTAACATAATATGCTATAAAATTAAAAAAAAATATTAAACAAAAGAAAGATAAGTACAAAACCTGTAATAAAACATCTAAGGCGAACATAAAGCCTTTTTGTACACAACCCGTTCACAGAACGGACATAGAACCGAATAAACTAATTCAAGAGATATCTATAATTACTGACGAAACACACTTTCACAAAAACTTAAAGCTTTTACAAACTCACATTTTTTGTGTGATGCTTGCAATTAAATCTTCCAACTACCCATCTAACGAAATTGTGATTAAATTTGGCTGACCGAGTAAGTCTTTCAAACCGACTTGAAACAACAAGCGTATAACATTTCACGCAAGATGTCATTCACCCGAGCAGCGGGGTCTTTCACTTGCTCCACTTATTTAAGCATTCATCAACTCCACTCTACTCCACTCCGTTGTTACACGAAGAAAAACGAACATCTAACTGAGTTGCCAAATTGATTCCCATACATATGCGCACCAGCGCGGCGCACGCTTATCATGCAGGTGTCATTTTACCAATTAATTTGCCCAACAACAGTTTTCACATCGATTTCAAATTAAATATTTCCTTAATTATGCGTTCCTTGAATTTCAGACACTGATTAAATACAATGACAATCCTTAAATGACACAAATTCTAAATTTCCAACACAAAAAACAAGACATAACAATGACCATTAAATGAAATCTTCAAATTCCGTGCTCATTTGACAAGTTTCCCTCAGGTCCTAAACAAAGCAATTAAGGATTTGGTGCAAACCTCGACACCATATAATAAACCAAATAACGAAAGTAGTAGCGCAAGCCGCAATAGGGGCCAATATAAAGATCCTATAGTGACACATCCGTAAGGACGGATGATGGAAAAAAGTGGACACAAAACTAAATGAATTCTTAAACTATTGAGCGATTCTGTAGAAACTTCAATCCATAAAGCTATACTACGCTATCTCATTCTTTAACACAAACACACAAAAACTGAAACCCATTGTTAACTAACATTCGGTTTGTTTGTCAATGAAGCCTAATTTAGAAAATTTATATCGATTATACTCTCTCATAATAAAAGTACGCGTTGCGATGAAAAGCACTTAAAATCTTTCTTCGCGATATTAGAAAGTTTCTAGAGTTTCAGTTCTCGCACATTTATTGGTTTTTTAATAGCTCTCTAGACTTTCTTGACAATATCAAGTGGAATGCCTAAACTATTTTCTTTCATTAAAACGTGAAGTACCGACACAAACTGTTTTCAATGAAAGGAGCACATATCAGTTTACTAGTGCCAATGCTCGAAAAGCAAGGGGACCAATCGATAGCGACGAGTGCGCAGCATGAGATGAACTGATTTGCTGCTCTACGCTAGCTATTTCTAGTTACTTATGGAAAACAGCTTTTGGATAAAAACATGTTTTTTTATTTCAGAACTTGCTGAACGCCAAACGGATAGACATAATGTCGGAAAGATGAAAATAGCAAATTTTAGGTTACCCGAATGTTACAGTAAGTACCTAGCCATTTAAATTAAATACCTACATCAGACTATTCTCACGAATATGAACAGGTTTGCCAATGTAGGAAGAGCAGGACATTTTGCCAAATCCACTAAATACCTAAAGAAACTTTAAAAAGTAGTCGCCTGTGATCCTGTGAACGTTACCAGCTTATAAAGAACATGACACATTCCCGTACGAAATAACTGTACTTATTGGTTTCCAAAATGAAAGTTTCTAGAATTTGTATAGGTATTTCGAATTGAGTTCAGTTTTTTGTTCAATTATTTTCATTTCAATCTAGTTATCCATAAAAATGATAAAAATGCATAATCGTATTCAAAACAATGACTGGAAATAGTACTTATGGTAGGTTGTTAAAAAACGAAAATAACAAGTGAAATAAGTAATATAAAAATAATTTACAAGTTACAACAGATACCTGTAGGCTGTAGGTATGTTAAAGCCGTCACAAACGTTTTCTCAGTACATTTTTGAGACCTTAACACTGAATTGGAAGGTTTGGCTATCGTTTTGAGGGTCAATTGAATTCAAGTTCTTTTTTTACACAGCAAAAGTTCGACAATTCTGTGAAAGTTGTGTGGTTGCTCTCCATTTTGTTGGAAGTAGAGGTATAAGTATAACTCTTCTAATTTGCAAACTTGTTTTTTTCCAATACCCTCAAAATTGTGGCTAATGTTAATTCACTGTCTGTAACTAAATCTCTTCAAATTGTTGGGATAAGCTAAAAACATTGATTTCAGTTGCTTCACTAATTATAAACTTGCCTTGTTTTATTTAAAAACTAGTTCATGGCTCCTAAATTGACGATCAAAAAATGTATCAAAACTTTGTAAATGATGAGTAACGGGCAAATGTAGGCCATAGCAGCTATCAATTAGCGAAAACCCGAAGTCTCTAGGTGGCTCAGGGGCCGAGATCTCGATGGGACAAACAGACAGACAGCACATAGCCAATTTTGCAAGTTTTTTAATACCTATCGCTTTGCAAAACAAACTTTTTTTGTCAAAACAATCAAAAACTAACGATTCTGCACATTTTAACAGCAGCGTAATTAAAAATTTATTCTGGGTCGAGTTAGTGTAAAGTAGGCCTGCCCACATTTTATTTTATTGTAAAGCAGATTTCGCGAAACAAACGTTGATTATAGCCAAACTACAGATGTACGAAAGGAAAAAACCAACAGTAATTAAATTTATGAATTGCTAGAATGTTATTAAACTGTGAGAAATCAAATGTGGGTCGGGCAATGTGAAGTTAGCTTCGCCCATTTACAACGATTTTTTTGTCAAAACAATCAAAAACTAACAAAAAACAAACGATAATACCCCAGTTTCTGGATTTTTTATTGGGCAAGGCTAACTTCACTGACATGTAGCTTGGTGTTAAAAATTTCCCTATTGAAAATCGTAGGTATGCGGTTCTTCTTGTTATGTTACTCTTTTACTTGTTTTACTCCTGGTTGCCTTATTTATAGGCTTCAAGGCGGATATATAGGTACCTTCACTGCGCGTTTAAAATACAAACTCCTGTTTTGGGATAAAACCCATTTGCAAGTGACCTGTGTCGATTATATCATTATGTAATTCACTTACAATAGATTGATTTAGCGTAAATAAATTTCATTGATGTAGATCTAAGATCAAGGGAGAGTAATGAAAAAAGAGTGCCAAAACGCGTACACAAATATTCAAATGTTCAGAATGATAATTCACGTTACTTACAACCCTGAATATCTAGACTTTACGAAAGTAAACTCCCAGTTTAACAAAACTCCTATCAACAATGATCGATTAAATTAATTACTGGATCTTAAAACAAGTTCCCACAATGCAGTTGGTGTTCCGAACACAAATGCGCACGTGTAGTGCCAAATACAAGTAAAACATATAAGGCGACGCTTACCTTAATTTAATAAGATGCTATCCAGAGAAG